TCAGCAATGTTTTTCAGATTAGTTCGCAATGCTGTTACTTTAAAAAACGCAGTACTTGGCCAGAAATGTCCATGATAAAACCCATAAATTCTTATTACGTGGCTGAACGTGCCTTTTTTCTCTCCTCTCTCATCAGAGAGGTTATTTATGATGCTGATAAAATCCTAGCATTACAACTTGCTTACATTTAATTAGAAATAAGTAACCAGATGCACAAAGCTATGGATTATTCTAAATCTGAATTTACAATAGAAGGGCAAACCTACCATCTAGAACTTAGAAGTGGACTGGAAATACAATTTTATGATATTCATTTAAATATAATTTCTGCACAGAATTATAATTAAGAAACTAAAGACTTTCCCTCCATCCTGTAAGCAGCTTAAAAAAAAAATGAAGAGGATTTTGAGAGTTTTAATCGGACAGAGGTCACAAATCACTGCTGGTAAATGTAAGGTGTGTTTTAAAAGGTAGAAAAAAAATCTTTCTTGATCATGTGGCTTTTACTGTTTGAATTTTTTTGTGAAACTAGTGAAATGATTACTCTGACAGAACTATAGAAACTCATTTTAGTGCAATCTGAGGAAGTATTTTATATTTTGAGTAACCATGGCTCAGGGGCATTTTATACTCACATCTGGAAGTTTCCAGTCTTAGTATTCAGTTTACTGTCTCTGTCTTTGTCTTTCCATTTAGCCTTGCCATGTTATAACAATGAATCATCTTGTCCATTAACTAAACTTGGAATGCCTGTTTATGCACTGAATTTGTTTCATCACGTCGCCATAATAATTGATTGGAACCCTGGCAACTCTGACTGCTTTCCCATATGTATTTAGACTGGACTTTACCCAGTGTTGTTCTGAGCAACAGAAGGATAAGCCATCACAAAACCTGGAATATCTTTATTCTGTTAAGATTCAACTTCTCGGTAGTATTTGTAATTATATGAAATCATAGCAGAGTTGTAATATGTATCTGTAACAGTTAAGCCAGGAATATTAGAAGTGTAGGTTCGCTTTGATATGTTCTGTTTCACTGATGAAATGAAACAGATCACCACTAATTAGTGGTGATCAAAATATTGAAGCATTAAATAAAAGTGAAAAGGTATTGCCTTGGGTGCTATGTTGTCTAAGAATATTTGTGTATGCCATATATATGGCCAATTTTCATGAAGAGTTGCAATACCCTTGCAGAAACTACTGAAAAGTAGAAATGAAGAGCAGGAATTAGTGGATGGAACCTTCTGCTGAAGGCAGTTTTAAGTAAACTCTTTGCAACAGTGACCTCAGAGCCTGTGGAAAGAAGTGAGAGCGAAAGATTTGTTACGGTTAGCGACTGAATTGAGCTTTGCTGTATAAGCCACTCCAATATCTAGCTCAATATCTACTACTCTGAAATTCTGAAACTATTCAGTGCTCTAAACAGCTGGCAGTTGTAGTGAGTGGGAGGAATGGGAAGCAGAGAACATTTATGGTCTTTCTCCAGAAGTTGGATCGAGTACGTTCACACATCGTGTAACTAGGCGTCGTCACCAGCTTCCTCTTTTTGTCTGATAGTCACTGTGGTTTCATGTGGGAGGTCGTGGTTGTTGCTGGACAAGAAATAGGCATGAGTATATATATGTGTGTGTGTGTATATAAAATCAGAAGCTGTAGGCAAAGAGATCATGGCAGCCTTGTGATGAGTTAAATGGGATAGGAATGCAACCTTCAAGTTCAAGTTGAAGGTCTGAATTTTTGGCTGTCATGGCTGTTTGGAATTCCAAGAGATGCTCTGTTCTGCAAATCCATTTTAGAACTGGACAACAATGGTCTTTAGAGTACAAGAAATGCTTTAGGGAAACGTGATCTTCTCCTTCTTGAATGTGGATGACATTAGACTTCTGTAGGTCCTCTATGGCTGGCTGCTCCCAGTCCAGATATTGATTTCAGTTAGCATTGAAGATGCCTGGGGGATGGTCAGTTGTTTATGTTAATAATTGCTCTGTGCAATCTAAATTGCTTCAAGCCTTTGGCCTGCCAAGGCAGGTTCTAACAAAGCAAGAAAGAATTTGTCACTGGTTTTATTCATTGCGCAACAGGCGAAAGTCTTAAGATATTCACTGAAAAAGCTGCAGTTTACTCTCGTCTTTATTCCTGGTACCTTCTTGTGTACAAATCTACCAATGAATTTCATTGCTTTCCAAATGATAATCCTGTGTGAGAAACTGTCATACAGCGCAGCCTGCACGCACGTATGACCTTTCTGCTATTGTATTTTCCTGGAATAGAAAAGTATCGTGTTCCTTTCCAAGGAGGTACTTTATCATAATTTTAGCAGTCATTGTCTCATATTCTTATGAGTTTAGCTATTTAGTGTAATTAATTCATTAACGTTACTACAATCATGCCTAGGATATATTAAGCCACAGGTACCCTCAAAGAACTCGTGCTAAATATTTAGAGGATTGCTTTCCAAACTTGATATTTTAATGTAGTCCTTGAGTTTTGTGGCCAGTAAAATCTAATTTCTGAAAATTCTCACTTGTATTGTGGCTATCTGTGTTTTTTATCTAATATCTGACCTTACCTTTCTTTACCCTGCTCTTTAGATTTTCTTTTTATGAATAGATGAATAAGCATTTATGTTGGTACTGTTCCTGTTCAGGAATCTTTGTCCATGGTTTTCTTTGGACCTTGACTTTGACTAACTTGGAACAACTTCTTCCCCTACTAGGGGGAAAAAGAGAGGAGGAAAAAAAAGAGGGGGGGGGGAAGATAAAGGATGTATGTGACTTTTTGGTTTCTCTAATTAACGTCATTGATCCTAATATTTTTTTCACACATAGAAATTGAGAGTACAAAGAGTTATAGCCCAAGCAAACCTAGTAATATTTCAGGTGTCAAGGTCAGGGCAACACATGTTTAGAAAATAAATCAGTTACTTTAAGTGATTTATATTTCTTCTAATTTAGGGAAAAGTTAAGGACTGTATCTGCTACCAAGGTGGCGAAAGTTTGGCAAGTCTGACTTTTTGTGATGCAAACAGAAAGACAGATTGCTCTGATTTTAAACATTTAACATCTTTGAGAATTAGCACCCATGCTTGAACACTTGTCGTCTTAAATGTGCGTGTGTATGTGAGAATCTATGTGTGTATGAAACCAAGTCTTGTAGCAGGAGAAATTATAATGAACTAATATCTCTTTCAAGATACTGTGTTCTCTGGTCATAACTGAATATCAAATCTGATACAGAGAACTGTGCTGTATGAAGGCTGACAATAAGTGCTTTCATACTTGGAGCAGCTCTGCATAGTGCATATCTGCAGTGCCATATTTCATTGTTTGTATGTTTTTGCTACAGAAGAAGATAGCAATCACAGCAGGCGCTGCTGAAAAGTGTGGTTAGGAACTCTGCTGCCATCTGTGTTAGCACTGTCTGTTCATGTTATGCTGATTTCCATATGTATGGTTTAGCGCTTAGTCTCTATAACTATTATAGTTACATATCTAAAAACAGCTATGATAATGAAATTGTATAGGAAACAGTCATTTAAGAAATTATTTTACTTGTTTTCAATGTACATACTCTTCCCCCCCCCCCTTTCTTTTTTATTCTCCTACTACTCTAGAGAGATTTCATCAGATGCTGGGAGCTCATTCCAAATTTGAACTCGTGACTTTTGGCTTTGTACTTTATAATCACCTCCACAGTAACCTCTGTGATGCCATAAACAGAGGGTTTGATTTCAGGTGAAGAATGTAGGCAGTGAAAGCAGAAAATCCCATAAAGGAAAATGATGTGGGAGGATGGGGAGGACAGGAAATATGATTATTTTGGCTTTTTGTGTGGTGATTTTGTTTTTCAAACAAAGTTTTTTTTTTTTTTTCTTTTTCATTCTTAGTGATAGCTGACAGAAAAATTCTTGTGAAATGCCAGAGTGAAACTTCTAGATTAGACAGTGTAACTGAAAAAGAAATCTATGAGCAATGGAGTTTAATTCTGCACTAGATTTCTTTTTCTCTTGTTTCCAATCATTTTTTTTAAAAATCACTTTAGTAAATCCACAGTGGGAGGATAGTTTGGCTGCTATACTTTTCCCAGGATGCGATAAGAGAAATTGCATTTGCAGTTCATGGAGAATGAAATTAAACTTGCTCTGTCCTGATGAGCCACTACTCCTACTCTTAGCACATTTCAAGGAGAGACTCTTTGTTGGATCTCATAGGAAATAGCACCCTGAATGTGGCTGTACATCCCTTTGTGCATGAAGAAACAGACACAGATTTGGACCTGCACAGCTCCCACATTAGAATTAAGTACTCTGTGGAGTGCAGTGTGTGCACGTCTGCCTCTTTAACCTGTTATTCTTGGAATGGGCTTAGAACGTGTTGCTTTGTGGTTTGCTTATAAGGTTGAGACTACTTACTCTTCTATTATATTTACATTTGCTCAGAAAGGTCATGATTTTCAGAAGAGCATCCAGCGATTGAAACATACTCATCTTTAGCTTGCATCATCTTATGTTCAAAACATACTCCGGTGATAAACTGTAAAATCAGTAGAAAGCAGTTAGCAAATGTAAATCACATATTATGACAACTGGAAAAGAGCAGAATGTCATTTAATTGTTCAGTTAGGTGGTAGTGGAGAAGACAGTTTTAAAAAGTGACTTTTTTTCCCTTGAGCAGTAAGACCTAACTCTTTAACCCTTCTACTGTGCCTCTAATAGAGACTATGTATACAAGCCTCCTTCATTTCTAGGATTTGTCAGTGCTTTTAGAGCTGACCGCTTCTTCCTTTTGGCTTCTCTGAAGCAACTTCAGGTATAAACATGTAATCTATATGTTCGAATGACTTTACTGTTCATGCAGCACCTGAAATGCATGCATAACATATGGCACAGCAGTAACTACTTCCTTTTCTTACAGAACAGAAATGGAATGTGTATTATGCATGTAAAAATGAATTCTCCGATAAGAACAGAGAACACCCAAGGATTAGTAAGGATCTCTTTAATATACTGGTCCTGTGCTCCACACTCCTTGTTAACATGAGGAGTCTCCCACAATATGTTAAAAGGTTAGCACCTGCTGTTCTACAGTTCCAGTCGTTTTCATTTACATCTCAAAAGCAGAGAATGAGAACACTCATATCTGTAATTCCAATAGTCTGTCAAACTGGATGACTATTTCTGCAAAACTGACACAGTATGGGCAGTTTTCATCAATGTCATTTGTTCCATCTTCTCAGATGAGTCTTTAGTCTCCAGCTTGCTGATCCCTGGTTTACAATCAGATGTGACAGCAATAGAATGACTGTAAATATCTTGATGTGAAAATCTGTATGAAGATGGGACTGCCATTTCTCTTCCTACTCTTCTGGTAAGGCCAAATTTTATTTGCTAAGTGTGAATGACTTTAAAGCTGCCTAGTTTTAGGCCATTTTCAAGTGCATATGTTCATAAGGTAAGCTTTTTACTAGAAAAGGCAAGATCCTTGCTTATTTCTTGAGTTGCTTCTTAGTGCTTTGGAAAGCTATTTTTATGTCATTGTGTTTAGTTGTTCTGTTTTCCCAGAGTTTGAGAACATGCTGCTTTCAAGTAAGACCTGAAATAATAGACATTTTGCATGTGCATAATCATTCTGATTCATGAATAAAGCCATTCCTGAACAGCTTTAATGGTGTCAATATAAACCTTACAGTTAAATGAATGAAAATACGTGTTTCACAGCTCTATTTAGTGAAGGTCTGTTCATGCTTTTTTGCAGTGTTTTTGGTACGCGAGATGTTAGCTGCACCACTTCTGCTTGCTTCCCATCAAACTGGAAAAATGCATCTGCTCTGCTTTCTGAGCCACCCTCTAGGTAATTTTAATGCTCAACTTTTGCCATGAATTAATATACTGTAATTCTATTCAAAACACAGAAGGTTAGACACATACACCGAGTTAAGCATATACCCAAGAACCTGAGCCTGAGGAATAAAACACTGGCATCCAAACGATAAGATTTTTATCAGTCCTTCCATGTAATAAAGTTTTTCTTTTTATGTGGCTCTTAGATATTTTTCCTTACTGTGTCTCCCCCATGCTTTCATTTTTATCTTGTCATTTTGGCATTATCCCATTGCATCCTGTCTGCCGCAAATCTTGCTGTTACCAATCATGGGAGGAAAAAGACTTTCAGTAGCCTACCTTATATTCTCTCTTTCTCTCCCTTTTCTTTTTGTGAAAAACTATTTTCCACTTCTTTGCTGTTCCAAAAATCTTCGCCTTTATTTAGTCCCTACAATCACAATTAAATGGAAGTGTCTTTGTTGAAGGCAAGAATATAAAAGTGGTGCCCCATCCCTCCCGACCTCTTGCCTTTCTTTTTAAGGATTTAGTGTTTCTGCCACCTGCCTATTCGAGTTTCTGTCTGGTATACTACCAGACTGGCACCTTTTCTTCTTAGATAAATATAAGAAAATCACATTAAGGGCAATATCATAACAGTAGATAATTTAAAGAAATTCATGGGCTGTCATTCTTTGTGTGGGAGTTTTTTTTTAAGGTTCTCTCACTGTCATAAAGGAAGTCCAAATTGCCAGCCTGATGAGCTCAAAATTCTTGAGTTTTGTTTCCTCTATAGTTGTTAGGTTTATCTATGTCATAGCATTGTAATTTTTATTTATGTAATTTTTCTCTATTTTCTGCTGGATTTATGCCAATAACTCTAGGAAGATTAATTCTTATTCCTCAAACTTAGTGAACTTTACAGATATAACTTTAGGGATAGGAGAATTCTTCTGAGTAAACTACCTACCCCCAACTATGCAAATCAAAACCAAATTTGAGTTGCGTGATATAGAGACAAATGCTAATAATGAGCATCGTCTTTTGGAGCTGCTACTTTCACTGACATATTTGTGGGTAAATAATCTTTTTATTGTTTTTTAAATACACATGGCTACTAGAAATTTTTAGAAATTACTGACAGGAAGCAAGAATTGGATTTGCCAGCTGAAAGCAGACTGTATGATGGTAGTAAGGAGGGTACTGCTGCTTGTGCCCAGTGTGGGAAAGCAGTGCTGTTTGAGAGGGAGTTCTGTCAAGAATTACTTTGAACTCCTGCCCTGAGTGAGAGCAGGACGCAGCCTGAATAGTGGCTCTGATATCCTTGCAAAAGGTAAAAATCCCTTTTTGCTGGTTCGATGTTGCTGACTGTTGCATTTTCCTCCCTCTTGCATTTCTTTTTTGTTACTAGGTATGTTATTACAGAACTTAGAAAAATATACTTTGAAGTTCCATGCAGTAAATAAGCATTACAATTTTTTTATTAATACAAAATTTTCCCTTTGGCAGGTTTTTCAACTTCAGAGAGCAGATTTTTTTTTCCCCCCCCCTCTTGCTCTTAGAATTAAATTTTATAAGCCTTGACAGGCGAGTTATGTGAAGTAGTAGGAAAAGAATGCAGATGGCACTCACCAAAGGTGCATACTTGGACTGAGCTGCTCCTACCAGCACTTGATAGTGTCCAATTGACTGTGAGCCAAAAGAACCTCCTGGTAGGAGGGAATTGTGATATGCGTGACCAAAAGACAAAGTTGAAATGCAATTCAACAAAAGGGAACAAGTTGCAAATAATTCAACGTTCAGGCAAAAGTAGCAACCGTCATTGTTTATGCCAGTATGTGAGTTGTAATTAGCTCAGAATTAGAACCTTTGGAATTTTAGGTGAAAGATGGGGAAGACTGTATCAACTGAAACTGAATTGCCTGAGAATTTTGGAGAGATTATTACTGAGAAACAATGCAATTTCCTATTAAAGCATGAAAATATAACGTACAGACACATATATGTATGTATATAATATACAATACACGTTATATGTACGTATATAAATATATAAGAATAGGGTGCTTGTGGAAAAGAATATCTGAAACTCCATATGAAGGAAGACAGCTCTGCCTGACTCTTTCAACAGTTATAGGTGGATTCCTGGAGATGAGTCAGGAGATGGGTTTAATGGCTTGGACATACAGGAATGTGCAGGCAATCTCTGCACAGAGGTTATCTGCATTTGGAAAACAAATATCCAAGAAATATACCATGTCAGCTTTAGAAGTCTTTGAATGTGGGGAAAGATGCATATACTAGGGAAAGGTGGTGTCTGGCCAATCTATGTGCAGAAACCCTTATATTACTGGCACTTTGCAGAATTCCTAATCAGTAGCTTCTTTAGTAAACAACCAGTTTAATTTTACAAGTGTGGAATATTTTGAAATTAAAAAATATGAAAAATGATAGCAGTGATAAGGGCAATAGCAAAGAATATGATTGTGATGGAGACAAAAGAGTAGAAATAGGACAACAGGACCTCACTGAGAAGGCTCTATTTCCAGACAAAGTGCATTTTACAAAAACAAAGGTGAGCACGGGAAATTTACCAAAAAAAAAAAAAAGTATATATGTATAAAAGATCAAGTGTCTAATTGGCAGGAAAAAAACAAAAAAGAGGAGTATGGTAGATGGTGGTCAGAAGTAATGCCCAGTCAGTGCAACAGCTGATAAATGTTTTTAACAGATATCCTGATCACAGACAGAATGGAACTGCAGAGAGCTACTGTTTGAATTGAAACCAGGAAGCAAGAGAGAGTCCTCATCTGAAAGTCGTCTAGTATCTGTGCTTTATTTATGGAAACTTACAGTTCTTTAAATAGAAATAAGATGATTTGGGAGATATGTAATTCATACCTATGGCGAAACTGTTGCAAGTGTGTGTGTCTGTGGAATTTATTTATGTTATGTTTAAGTGGAGGAAAGTAGTGAAGGCAACCGTGCCAGGTAAAGATCAAAACACTAGATAAGCTATGAGAATTACTAGAAGACGTACTTGTTTTAATAGCTGTCCATTACAGGAAAGAACATCTTCCAAAGCTTTGAGAGCTGTATCTCTCAAAAGACCAGTTAACACAGCATTAGTAGTGAGCAGATAGTGACTCACTTGATTGTGATAGTCCCACCAAAGACCAAGGATGTAGTAACTGATCAGTCTAGGGCAAAAGTCTTGTGTCTATGGATTTGAGAAAATGATTCTAGCACACTGAGTTAGTTGAGCTGCACTTAGAACTCTGTATTATGTCTGCTAGAAGGTATTGCTAAGTAAGAGCATCTCTGAAGTTATTCTGTTTTGTGGGATGTTTCAGTGAAAAATTGGACCCGGCACTAAGGGTGTTCTTAGATGTCAGAATTGTTGCTGATAACGTCCTTATTGCAAGGAAAGGGAAAGACAAGGAAGAGTCATTACTGTCACTGCGATATCTGACTAGCAACTCTTATGCTAGGCAGTGCATATTAAGCTAGATATAGATTAAAAAAAAAGAAGCGAGTCCCCTGCATTGTCTTTCTCTTTGAAAAATGGTATCCTTCAGGGAGATGCCTAAATCAAAAGATGAAAGGGAAGCTAGCATTTGTCGGCGTGAACAAAGGACAATGTGGCATGGGAATGGTTGGGAAAGCAAGAAAGATGAAAGGAAATCCTAAGGAAGTCAGTGGGCCTAAAGCATTGTGGAAACAGAGCAGCCATAGCTATGCTGTGATACGTCTAGAGAATTACAAAACAGGCACTGATGTAGCCACTGTAGAATGTGGTGTTTGGTAGCAGAGTCTTGAAAGACGCAGGAAGCTACAGCAAGGTCAAATTGGTAGCAAAGTGAGCCAAGAAACTGATGGCAAAGGTTAAAATGGCAAATCCCAAATTGATAGCGTGCAACCGTGTTGCATTATTCAAAAGCTAGGTGGTAGTACAGCACAGGGACTGGCAAGGGATTAGAGGAATGGACTCCTTTATTACTGCCTGCAGTAGCCTTTTGCAGTCCATGATGCTCCTTACTATACAACTGGCAACGTACAGGAGTTAAGATAAATAGCTAGTGGAACCAAGGATTTATTGAGCTCTTGTATAGAGGCGTGCGGATCTGGTGACCAGCTAGGAAGTAATCATACAAATGCCCTGGCAACAGGTTCTGGGTTCTTCAAGCTGCAGTCATGCAAGGCAGCTTTAGCTTTAGGACAGGAGTGGAAAAGAATGAGACGGCCAACAGCTGGCAGGAAAGGGCATACTAATAATAACCTGCCTGTCTTTCATGTATGGCCCTTCTAGAACCATGTTTGGGATCTTGTAATCTTTCTTCATTCTTGGCTCCAGTTTATCTGCCTACTTAATCCAAATTCCTCAGCCTGGTACCCAGCTCCTTCTTGACCAGGTAATCTTAGTCACTCCTCTAGCTAGGAGTGCCTTTCTCAATCTCCTTCCTTTTAGCTATTCCTTTAAAACAGAACAAAACAATTCTCTCTCCCCTTTGGCTCCTTGTTCCAGTCTTTTATGCCTATGTTCCAGCTGTTGGTTCTGCTCTTCCTTGTTCCAAGTTCAAGCTTCCTTCTCCAGACTGTTCCAGGCTGCTTAATACTTTTTCTTCAGTTGCTGCCTGTATTTGCCTGCCCACAACAGGTGACACTGTTGTGGGGGTTTACTACAGGCCACCTGACCAGGAGGAAGTCATCGATGAGGCCTTCTACAGACAGCTGGAAGTAGCCTCACGATCACAGGCCCTGGTTCTCATGGGAGACTTCAACCACCCTGACATCTGCTGGGAAGACAGCACAGCTAGGCACAAACAGTCAAAGAGGTTCCTGCAGAGGATTGATGATAATTTCTTGAC